CCTGCTGTCACACACAATACAGAGTAAATGCCTCATACTGGATTTGGATACTGGGTTTATTGAACAACCACCAGGACCAGACCTTTCACCCTCCTTGGTTGTGATCAGCTCCTGACCCAGCACTATGTTCTTTGGGTCTCTGCTTCCCAGAAGGGAGGTCACTCCTGGTCCAGGAAGGTCAGGCATGAAGATGTGCTGGTTCCCACTGTGCTGCTTCTCACAGTTGCCTATTCCAGTCACCACTGGCCAAGGTTCCATCTCTGATCTGCAGGATATATTCCCTCCCACCACATCCACACACAGCCTACTGTCAATTCATACAGTAAGCTGATTATGGCAAGAGCTTATAGCAAGGGAGTGTCCTGAGGCACCACAGATTCTTGCTTCTCCAAATGCAAACACCATCATCCCTGTACCCTCACCCTGTTTCCCTTTCATGCACAATTAATGGTCCATTAACAAGCTTGTATGAGCAGTCCTTTAACAGCATTAATTTTTCTGCTGCTAAAGCAAAAATGCAAAAAATTGTCCCTGACCAGCCTACTGGCACCACCTGCCCTGTCCCCTTAGAAAACCAAAACTTTAAACCAGGTTGCTCTGAGGGTAGAGTGAAGTAGGCAGCCTGTGGTTCTGGACCTGCCTAGGGGCAGGTGGGATGGGACAGAAATGTGCTGGGCCCAGAATGAGCTGCTTCTACAGTGAGCAACTCTGACAGGATGGACACATCATAGGTGCTGCAGCTCTTGCTCTTTTCACACGTTTTCACAGCCAGCAGAGGTGAAGAGGGTGCTCCTGAGAGACACCTGGGCACTGTGGAAGATGCTGGAGATGTCAGGTTAACATCTAATGAGGCAGCACACAGGACCCAGGCCTGAGTTGATGATCTGAGTCGAAGCAGCAAGGAAAAGCTTTAAAAACTTGGTGACCAGATTTGGAAAGAGACATAAAAATAAAAAGGCAGTGACAGGTATATGAGCATTTATGTATGAGGAAGGCCTGTGGAGGTCTGAGTGGTTTGGATGAATATTAACACATCTCTCAGGGGTGAAAATTGTAGTCCCACTGCCCCTAAGGCATTTGTTTCTAATGTGTGCATAAACCATACGTGTGCTGTGTTAGGCTGAGGAAAGGTGCTGCAGCCACCTCCACTGCTGCAGGGCAGGGCTCTGAAGGCATATTCAAACAGGACTTTCAGGGAGACACGTACAGCTGTGAGAGAAGGATGCAATAGTACATAAACCAGAGATAATTCCAAAGAAGAGGTGAGGCTATTGTCATTTGAGAACTGGCCACTGGTTTGTAGGAGCATCTTCAGGGAGGAGTCTAAAATAGAAATCATACATGTGCCTTATAAAATGGAAGTAAAGGGCCAGAAGTTCCACAATGAGAGGAAAAAAAGAGTATTCTGTATTTCCATAAAATTTAGGCCTGGGCATGGGCAGGAGTAGACAGTAGAAGGTCTTGGTATCAGAAACTCAGTTCTGGTGGCTCCAATTTCTCACAAAATACCATTTTGACAACTCACCTTCCTTTTTTAAACCTTGTCTCTCACAGATACCTGGTCTGAATGGGCTTGAGGGCGGCTATTCAACCCAGCTGATGAAAGGTTACTGTGCTGAATGCCTGTGTTTCTAACTTAAGGCTCAAGTCTTAGTTCCTGTGGCCTCCATTTTCAAAGGCTCAGTCTAACACATCCTAAATTAACTCACCAGGCAACAGAGTATGAAATCGGACATGACCGATCGATCCTTGAGCATTGATCCAAAGCGAAACTAATGGAATGTAAAGAAAATGTAAGACTCTATTGTACTGTAAAGGCTGCCTGTTTAGCCATTTTACAAAATAAAATTTCATTTGGGAGCTGGGTGGAAATGTAAAGTTCAAAGAGCTGACTAAAACAAGGCATAGGGACCTCACAAACTGCTGCTGTTCAGATTAAGCCTTGAGGGAATGGCTTTGTTAGACACCACTGACTAAAATAATTGCATTATAATTTTGGCTAGAGGCACCATTCTATCATCCATCCTGTCATCTGATGATTTTTAAACTGTGCATGAATAGTTTAGAGAGAGTGATCTTGGCATCTAGCTACATAGAACTGAGAAGCCCATTCAGTGTACCACATCTATGCTTGGGTGCTTGGAGAAAAGGAAAAAAAAGGAAAAAAAAAGAAGATATCCTAGTACTCTCAAAGAGAGGTCTCTGAGAAATAACAACAAGCAGTTCTGCATGCTCCTTCTGCAATGCTCTAACAGTCTAAGCAAGGGCTTTCTCCTAAGGTAAGTGGCAGAAAAATAATTCTACCTAGGACAGTATGGAGCAGGCAGCTGCCTGTCAGGCTTGAAGCAATGCAAATTAAAACCATGAGTATTTGTATCTTAACATTTAACTTCTGACAAGAAATGTAAAGTTTAATGTTGCTATTTCATACCTCAACTGATGTAAATGTGGTATGAATGTAACACAGAAGTGATGTGAATAGTGGCAAATGACAAGATGATTTTAAAAGAAGTAACAAAATAAAAATTAAGGAACTTCCTCCAAGAGAAATGGTGGATTTCCATCTGGTTCTAACTGGTTACATGCATGGATTTTTATTGTTTGAAATAACCATAAAAAATACTTGGTCAGACACAAAGTAGATGGTATATTGAGAAATGTCTCAGGTATGTACTTTTTATACTAAAAAAATTATATATCTAGTTTACAATGCTAGTAGCATAGAATAGGCTGTACTACTAGAATTTCTAGTCTAGTAGTAAACTGGAAATAATTATGTAATTGATATTTAAGATTCCTGTCTTACTGAAATTACTCTATTACACAGAACTCAATTAAGACCAGGGAAGGGGAAAGAAATGGAAAAATTAGAAGCACATTGCTATGACAAAGTTGTGAAGTAGTTTGGGCTGATTTCTTAGAAATGCTGGCTTTTGTGGCTCTAAACTATCTTCTTTATTTTATACACAGTATTGACTGTGTCATTATTTATACTGCAGTTCTACCAGTGCAGAGCTGAGGGGAAGTGTCCTGGTATCAAGGGCTCGCTGAAAGGGTGAATTATACCATTCCTACAATTACATTTCCTCTGTTGGCTTTTATAATGCAAAGGTGAGGATAGAGTTATTTAAACACTGGTAGAAACAACTCAAGAAACTAAACTCTGTTGAGCCAGAGTGGTATGTTTAGGCATCTCCTTTGCCCCGAATAGTTGCATTCACTTTCTGTGCCAGGCAGTTTCTACCACTAGAGAATTTCATCTTTGAGATTAAAACATACTTATCCCTGAATTTACATTGTTGCATCACACTTAGGGTTTTGTTGTTTGGTTGGGGTTTTTTGCTGAGTCAATCAGTTTCAGTGAGGGATTAACCATTTGCAAGGCAGCAAATATACCTAAAGCTCTTTTGCTTCACTATTGCATTGGACTACAATAATTATTGCTGACTTCCTGTTTTCCTCCTGTGTTTCATTGCAATGATATGCGTGGGAGGAAAGGAATGGGGAAACAAGATATTCTGGGTGTCTAACAACACCTAAAGCATTGCTTGAATAGATATGTTTACTTAGCCAGTTCCATGTGTGAAAATTCATATTTGCAGCCAACATAGTCCCAGAAACAGAATAATAAAGTCTGTAGGATGCCTATGCTGAGAATGATGACTTTGCTGCTGGTTACAACTGAGAATTTTTACTTGCAGTGTGGATAAATACAGCCTTAAAGCAAAACTGAACTAACCTGGGATCATGGGATCATGAACCAAGCGATATTAATAATGGTGATATCACCAGCTATGCTATCATTTAAATATATACAAGATTTTGGGCACATCAACCAGCCACTTTAAAAAAAAAAAACTTAGAAATTGTACTTTACTAAAGGCTGTAGTTTAGTAAAATTTGGGATGTTTTGAAAGTATTGTAGCATTAAAGAAATTCGAGTGCGAACCCTAAGGTAGATATGATCCCAGTTGCTTCAATAATTTATTGCCATATTAGCAGAAAAAGTTCCAGGGACATAACACTAAACATGCATTTGATTCACAAATAAACAGTCAAATATCTTATATTTCAATTCCCCACATTACCTGAAGCTCCAAAAGAAAGCTTCAAAAGAAGCAGGTTGTAAATCAAGCAGAACATAGACCAATTTGCTTGTGAATCAGTTTCTGGGATAGAGGCAGTTAGAAAGATTTTCACACACTCACTGTTAAAAACCTTCACATCACTCTGATTCCATTTTCTCATTTGTTAAAATTTATAATTAAGATGCAGCAAAACTTGATGCATAAAAATAAAGGTATTAAACCTAGGAGCACTCAGTTTATTGATATTATCCTATAACTGAGACTGCAAATGTACAGCTATGTGTAAATCAGCTATGTATTTGTAGTTTTAGGAAGCTAAGAGAGAAACTTGTGAATTGTTACCTGAGTAGATGAAAAAATACTGGATGGATGGCACTAAAATTGTTTTCAAGTCACAGTTATAGGACACTTCTCAAAACTTCATCCAAAAAATTAAAGCGAAGAACATTATCTATTGTGGCAAAACTATGGCAAATCAATAGTCAATGTAGAATGGAGTGGATGGTAGAATTAAACTGTAGCTGGCAAGTGATTTGCAAGGTGGAAAAAAAGTTTTCTTCATTTCTAGTGGGAACAAAAGAATATAAAGCTATGGGCAGTTATGCAGTACTGTGGTTTACAGCTGAAATCACTATCTCTTAATCTTAAAATAAGATCACATTTGCATTTCTGACCAGTAATCATGAAATTTGAATTAATTTCAAGGCCCAGTAAGTAGAAAATAATGATGAACTTATAAGAACTCTCCAGGTACCGAAATAATGTATAGGAAATTATGTGAAATTAACAAAAAAAACCCCAAACAAACAACAACAATAGCAAAAAACCCCAACAAAAACTAAAAATGGCCATTTCCAAAAGAAATCCATCATTACAGGATTTTTTTTTTCCCCCAGAAATGAACTTCTGACAATGGGGGACTGGAACTTGTTGGGCAGCATCCTTGAAGAAGTTCACATCCACTCCACAATAGTTGGCAAAATCTGGCTCACAATCCTGTTCATATTCCGGATGCTGGTGCTGGGAGTGGCTGCTGAGGATGTCTGGGATGATGAGCAGTCCGAGTTCATCTGCAACACGGAGCAACCTGGCTGCAACAATATCTGTTACGACAAAGCCTTCCCCATTTCTTTGATCAGATACTGGGTACTGCAGATCATTTTTGTCTCCTCCCCATCTTTAGTGTACATGGGCCACGCGCTCTACAGGTTAAGGGCGCTGGAGAAAGAGCGACAGAACAGGAAAGCCCACCTGCGGGCTCAGCTCGAGGACCTGGAGCCCGTGCTCGAGGAGCACAGGAGAGTGGAGAAAGAACTGCGTAAGCTGGAGGAACAGAAGAAAGTGAATAAGGCGCCCTTGAGAGGGTCCCTGCTGCGCACCTATGTCCTACATATCCTCACCCGGTCGGTGGTCGAAGTGGGCTTTATGATAGGTCAGTATCTTTTATATGGGTTTCACATGTCTCCCCTTTACAAATGCACTCGGCCCCCTTGCCCTAACACGGTGGATTGTTTTGTGTCCCGACCCACAGAGAAGACCATCTTTATGTTTTTCATGAACAGCATCGCTGCCGTCTCCCTCTTCCTCAATATCCTCGAAATCGCCCACCTGGGCATCAAGAAGATCCAGAAGAGCCTGTGCGGGCAGCCGCTGTGGCCGCCGGGCCCGTCCGAGGAAGAGCCCAGCGCGTACAACTCCAAGAAGAGCTCGGTGGTGCCGCAGCCGCCCTGCCTGGCCAGCAACGCGTCCCCGCCGCGCCCCGCGCCCGCGCCGCTCCCGCCGCCCGCGCCCGGCGGCCCCGCGCCGCCCGCCCGGCAGCACCGCGGGCAGCTCCGGCCGTCGCCGCCGCGCCGCCGGCACCACGGACAGCACCCGCCCTCCTCCAGCAGCGAGGAGGCGCCGCGGGCCGCCCCGGGGGGCGGCGGGGCGGGGGCGGCCGCCGCGGCCCGCCGGGCGCCCCGCAGGCACAGCCGGGTCAGCGCCTGCCGGGACCTGGAGGAGGAGCGCGGCGAGTCCCCGGACAGCGGACACTGCCCCGGCACCCGCAAGTCCAGCTTCCTCTCCCGCGTCCTCACCGGCAGCCGGGCGGGCAGCGACAGCGAGAGCACCGCCTCCCGCGGCGGCCCCGGCCCCGGCCCCGGCCCCGGCCCCGGCCCCGGCCCCGGCCCCGGCCCCGGCTCCGGCTCCGGCTCCGGCTCCGGCTCCGGCTCGGAGGGGAAGCGCCGCTCGGAGGGCGCGCCCAGCCCGCCGCCCGCCGCCTCGGGACGCCGCGTGTCCATGGCAAGTAGCGCCCGGGACCGCCCGCGGGAGGGGGGCGGCGGGGGGCCCCGGCACCCAGTGCCGGCCCTGGGGAGGAGGGGGCGAGCCAGGGGGCAGAACGGCTCGGGCAGGACTTCCAACACAGCCCCAGCTCCTCGCGGCCCCCCGGACAAAGCCAAGCTCCCAAAAAACGCTCGGCCTCCTTCTGCCGTGAAAGCAGGAATACCAGGGAATTACTGAGTCCTGAGTCACCGAATCCCAGCTTCTTTATACTCATTCCATCATCCCAATCAACTCAACGAGGATTGTCCCAGGGAAAACTCCTTCAGCTCCAGCCGCTGTGAGAAGCCAAGAATGCATTGAGTTCAATGACACAACTTCTCTCAGTTTCAGGTTTGTCTCAGAGGTGACCTCCAAGTTGAATAGTTGTTCAATGAATAAATCAAAAGATCTACGTGTAAAAACCCCCACCAAATAATTGCAATGCCAAAGCCAATGACTACAGAATTGCTTTTTCAGCAGCTCTTCCTTTTCTTTGGCCACATGTTCTAGGGTTGCTTACAGTCATAGTGTTGACAAGATATTGTGCTTCTGTGCAAGAGTCAACAAGGCTTTCTTAAAAGATATTTGAATTCTGGTGGTCTCAAATTCAGATCACAGGTTTGGTTCTTGGAGAGCACAGAGGCTCCTTTACAACCTTTTGCAGTAGCAAGCCCATAAATACCTTTTTATAGGGCACGTAATAAACAAGATTACATCACACAATGCTCAAAATCATAGATTCTGTTCAATTTTTTCCCTCTCACTCTTCCTAAACACCCCCTTCCCCCCCCCCCCAATGCCTTTTTTTCCCCCTATATATAAAACAAAAGAAGCCAACAAACTTAAAATCTCTTCTGGTAAGAAACACAAAGCACTATTATTATACTGCTCATCTAAAAATTGCTTATAAATTCCAGTTTCCATGGGGTTACAGTTTCTACACTAAGCCAGTCAGCATAAGCCATGTTAATTTGTCACTTAGGTGCAATTTAACCACTTCCCACTTCAATCTTTCTAATACAGGGAGAGGGCCTAGAGCCTAATCTGTTGATCTGCTGGCTTTTGATACTCAGATAGAAGGCTCTTTTAAAATGTGAAGTGCAGAAAGTTATTCTAAGGAAGACAGAATTTCAGTAGCACTCTCTTGAGAACTCACAGAAGTTGCTTGGCAGCTTTTCCTATGTAATGACAATGATTCTACCTTCCAGGGGAGACCTTCAGAGAAATACATTCAGTTTGCAAAACAATGTCATTACTCTTGAAAGTAACACTATTCCAGCATGCTGTTTTTGGAGATCATTATGTACAGGACTTGTGCTAGCATTTTAAAATGTGACTGATGTAGGTGTGCTACCTGGTGCTTCCTGATTACGGCATGCAATACTTCAAGTACATGTGCTTCTTAATAGAACTGAGGCAAGGTTTTGGCAAATGCACTTTATTCTGGCACTGCTGCAGCATTTTTATGAATGCTAATTTCAATACACAAATATCCTGGTACATCATAAATATGTTGAACCTGGGCATTAAAACTTGAATACTCTTCCAGTCTGTATTCCTCAATTTCTATATTAACTATTTAATTTGGTCGAAGGCACTCAGCATTGGTTTGATTTTTTTTTAAATATTAATTTCCGGAAGATGTTAATCATGTATGAATGACAGAATCACAGAATTATTTGGGTTGGAAGAAATCTTAAAGATCATCTAGTTCCAACCCTCACCCTCTCAAAGGACACCTTCCACTTGACCAGGTTGCCCAAAGTCCCATCAAGCCTGGCCTTGAACACCTCCAGGGACAGGCCATTCACAACTTCTCTGGGTAACCAGTTCCAGCACCTCACCAAGCTCACGTAAAGAATTTCTTCCTACTAAACCTACTCTCTTTCAGTTTAAAGCCATTCCCCCTTGTTCCATCACTACATGCCCTTGCTAATAGCCCTTCTCCAGCTCTCTTTTTGGCTCCCTTTTACCTACTGGAAGGCCACTACTAGGTCACCTTGGAGCGTTCTCCAGGCTGAACAACCCCAACTTTCTCAGCCTTTCCTCACAGGAGAGGTAATGGTTAGATAAAAGAAAAATGTGTATGATTAGATTAAAAATCTATTTACCATATTTTTTAAAAATAAGTACTTAAAAGTAGCTATATTTTAAAAATTCTAAATGAAGCATACAAAAACATTGTCTACTGACATCCCTGATTAATAGTGACTTGCAACAGTAATGCAGAGAAAGTACAGACACTTCTTAACATGATAGTGAACCCACATGCACAAACATACTCTAAACAGCCAAAATATAGTCTGTTCTAACCCGGATTTTACTAATCTAAGCTGGGTAGCCTAAGAGCAGAATTGACGCTGTTCTTCAATTTTATTTGATAAATTTCCCAAACTATCATCTTTAGTTCCATAGTGGTTCAAGTCTTTTCTTTTTCCCCCTCATCCACACCATTCTGCCAGAATTTGTCTGTAGCATTCTTTGTATTAGGTTCAATGAGAGAGGAGTATCAACTCAACATTGAAAAGATCACTTTCCACAGCTCAATGACCATTCTAGCAACCTCCAACCAAACACATGCCCATGTTCTGTGCTAAGACAGCAGGACGGCTGCAGCTGCCCACAAACACCATAGTTTTCTTCCTAGCTGAAAGAAAACCTCAAAATTACACAAAATACATCCATCTGATACTGCAAGAGTCTTCAGACAAATCAACTGCGCTCTGTGAGATGTGGCACTGAAAGCACTGAGCAAGTCTAAGGGTATAGTTTATGGATGCTTGACCTTCAACCAATTATGAGCTTTTTTCCTACTAGTGCTATCAACGCCATTTCCATACCGAAACTGAATCTCTAACAAGCAAATAATAATCATTAGGGACAAATGAATGTATTAAAAGTTACTTCTCATTATGTATTGGACCAAATAGATGTAGTGGATCAAACGATGAAGACCAGGTGTTGGATAGTACTTGGCTGGGTCATATAACAGGATTTTTTTTCGTAAGTACAAAACTGCATCTCTTAAAGAGAACAGGAAGTTTGTCTTAGGCCTTCCTCTTTGGAGGAAAGGTTATTTTGGACCCTTAGGAGAGAATGCATTTAATTCTTCACTGAAAGCCTCAATGAAACAGTACAGTAGGATACTGATGATAAAATGCATGTTTGGCTATCAGGATTCCTCGACTTTTTCATACTTCAGTTCAAGCCAGACCAACTCTAGATCTAAATAGGAAGAAATGCCCTTCCCATTGGTAGAATTTATACCAACCAACCATACTAAGCCATAAACTAAAAGGCTATTTAAAACTTCCTTACCTGGAACTGGTAGAGATGAAGAGCCATTTTGTAATTTCACATCCAACTGCAGCATACCCCCTGACAAAATATTTATGTTTTGTGAAACTGTTTAGTTTTACACCCAAACCACTCACTCTTTATGTTCTGTTCCATTTCTTTCATGTGGTATTATCCAAAGTTAACTATTCAGACCAGGAAGCTGAAGTGAGAGAGACAGAAAACCTAAAAAACTTATTTGACTAAAGATCCATTGGGGAAAACAAAAAACTTTTTTTGAGCCACTGCTGGTCAAGCTTTAGGTTTATTAGATTCTGAAGACAGACCACCAAAACTGGACCTTCAAGCACACAGTAAAGCAAAGGTGGAGAATTAAATGCATGAGATGAGGGTTATTTCCAACTGATTTCATTCCACCTAAACAAAATGACAAGAGCATTGCTGACTATATGAATGAGCTAATCTCAATATAATGTTACAAAACTCTGCACTGACAAGTAAATCCAGCAACTACATACAGATGAAGTCAGACTATCTGCAAGACTCCAAAACCTTGGTGTTGAGGATCACAGTCAGCATGCTTTGAAGTGACAGAAAACAATTTGTTGACTGATAACTGTCTCCAAACGAATAATTTCCAAGGCTCACTTAGAGGATGCATCTTAGAGAATAAACAATATTTTATCTTCTAAGAGATATTGTGGGTACACACATAGTTCTGCCCTAAGGTTTGCAACTCTCACCACATTTTAACTTTTATTTAAGGAGAGATAGAGCAATAGAGAAAAAGGGCATCTTCTGCATGGTCCCCGGCTGCCAGATTCCATTAGGTGAAGCAGGTCTTAAATGGCAGTTTTTCACAAAAAAGTGAATAAAGCTTCACTGAACTTAGCATATCCATAATCATAGCTGACATCCAGGAGGTGGATCCACAAAGGTGTGTAGGAATTATGCTGCTGTCCATAGGACTCTGCACATGAATTGTATTATGAGAAAAAGACCTCATAATTTGCACCAGTCAGGGTCTTGACTGGTGGATAATACATGCTTAAGTCTGATAAGATTAATAGACTGATGGAGTCAAAGATCAGTTTATAACAAGTACAGATACAACTTGTGCTCTCATGAAAATAGGCAGGGCCAGGAATTACAACCCAGAACAGGCATCTGGCTCTTGGAGCATTGCACTGAGGGGTATTGTCTCCCAGCAGCCACATGCAAGACTGTGTCAAGCCATTAGGACCATCGAATAACTCTCATACTATCTCTGGGGGCATAAAAGACAGATCTGATCACTCCAAATGAACAATTAGAGAAGATGGCAGCTTTACTTCTAAAGGCGCCATTGGCCAGAATAAAGCCATCTTCCTTCTCACCCATTTTCTGCAAACCAGGGAACGATTGCAGAATGATCAGAAAGCTCAGCTGAGATGACCACAGCCTGACTTTCCATCTTCAGGGTGGCACAGTTCCCAATTCACTAGCTGAATGCAATCATTTCTACAAAAGCTGGAGGGTGTCTGGTATTTCATTGCTAGCTGCATTTGAAGTCTTTGCTAGCTGTGTTTCCTGCCTTTCTAAAGCAGAAGATTCCAGCTCCAAACTACTTGAGCAGGATGTCCAGCATCAGTTCTTTTTGGTCTTTACCTGTATGATAGTTCTCTAAAGAATTCTATGGTGTGCTCTAAAACAAAGGACTTTTAATTTGGTTAATTGGGATTGGGAGTATTTACACTAGATTGGCTACTCTCTTCACAAAGGCATGAACTTTTGTATGACTTGGAACTAATTATGTTTGCAACCCATGCCTAAACCTGTATTAAGAGAGCTACTGTGCTTGTGCTCTTTCTAGAGTACCTAAGGGTATTCCAAGAAGATGGGGAGCTTGACATTACCTGATGTTTGTGTTTCTTCATGAAGCCCTGATAAGTTCCTAAATCAAAAACCAAAACTGGAAATCATTAGAAGATGTATAATGAACTGGAAATCATTAGAAGATGTATAATGATCTTAGCAACCAAAATTACTAGAGCAAGACTTTCATAATGAAATCTTAGGCATTTTAGGCACTCTAGACTTTTGTTTTTCAAGAAGTGCTGCATCTTTCCCATCCTCTCCTCTAGGGTGTCCTGCGCCTTCACAGTGTAATTCTAATAAGTCTGTATTTTTGGCTACAGAGTAACCAATGTATCTTTAAAAGCAAGACTCCCTTCTTATGGTGAATGAAGGGAATAAAATTGACAGTGAAGCAGATGGTGACACTGATACTCTCAGATTGCGGAATTAGTCTGAGATAGGGCTGCTGATTTTATTCTTTTGAAGAGAAAAAAGTCTCTGGGGCTGAAATCCTAGTTCTGTAAAAGTTGTGAAAATTTTACAATTCACTAGGTTTGGTTTCCCTCATTGTTCTTTTATTCCTCCATGCTGTTCAATTTTTTCCTACTTCTCAATTCTCCATTCAACTTTGAGCCTCATACCCACTGGGAAAACACTCCATAGTGAGCAGGATAGGGAAGAGAAAGCTGCTGTTCAGCATGAGTGCTTGCCATCTTCTTCAGAACAGGGCATGTTTACTCAACCTTTCAATAACGTGTAAGGAATAAATACTGACTCATTTAACTATCTTCTCACCTGCTCTTGCTTCTGGGGCTGCAACAGCTTGATAAGAGTGAATGCACATTGAAATAACAAACCTGATAACCATGGAGTAGTTATTTATACAGCTGAGCTCCACCAGGAAAATCTGCAGGTGGGGTAAGGAACTGGCAAAACCCTGTGTTCCTCTAGGATTTTTGAGAATATTTAAAGGTGTTCACATTTACACCTGCTGGTAACCACTCCTGGTTTTGTGCAGTTTTTCAATGTAAATTCCTCTTAAAAAAAAAAAAAATCACACAGTACTTGTATTTTATTCTGCCCTGGAGGACTCAGAAGAAACTTGTGGTGATGACAGAAAGTGTACCAATTATCCTGCAAAACCCACTTGGCCACCCAAAGATAACTGTTCACCACTTGCACAAAAACTTTGGGTGTCAGCAGCAGTTGTACACTTATTAACCCCTCTGATGATCTGTGCAGCAACAAAAAAGTAAGCTGGATTTTAGAAAGTGGAATTTGTTTTATTGAGTCCATCTTTGTAAGGTTTAAAGAATTCAAAAATATACAAACCCCCTTACTAGGAAGAGCTACTAGGGTATGTTCAGTGATTTCAAACAAATTACTAAATCACAGTATTATAGAATCAAGAGTGGTTTGGGTTTAAAAGGGCCTTAAAGATCATCTAGTTCCAAACCCCCCACCCATGGGCTGGGACACCTTCCACTAAACCACATTGCTCAAAGCCACATCCAACCTGGCCTTGAACACTTGCAGGGATGGCGCATCCACAGCAGCTCAGGACAACCTTTTCCAGTGCCTCCTCACCTTCACAGTAAAGAATTTCTTCCTAATACCCAATCTAAACCTACTCACTTTCAGTTTAAAGCCATTACCCTTTGTCCTATCACATACCTTTGCTAACAGTCCCTCTACAGCTTTGCTGTAAGCCCTCTTTAGGTACTGGAAGATGCTGTAAGGTCTCCCTGAAGCCTTCTCTTCTGCAGGCTGAACAACCCTAACTCAGCCTGTCTTCACAGGACAGGTGTCCCAGCCCCTCTCACCATCCCCCTGGCCTTCCTCTGGACTTGCTCCAGCAGGTCCATGACATTCCTATATTGGGGTCCCAGAGCTGGATGCAACACTCCAGGTGAGGTCTCAGAGGAGCCAAGTAGAGAGGGAGAATCACCTCCCCCAACCTGTTGGTCACACCAATGCATTAGTGTATTTATTTTGGTTTAAAATCAAGGTGTTTCTCCTCTTCCCACGGCCCCCTTCTTGCCCGTTAGCATTGAACAAAGTCCTGCAAGGTAAGTATGCTGTCAGCTACTAACACCAGATTCCCTTAACGATGTATGTGCTGGGGTTAATTACTATGATAGCATTTCTTTTTCTCCTTTAAGCCAATTCAGTTTCGTGCTTTCTTTCTCTTGTTATCTTTCAGAGCATGCTCCTAGAACTATCATCCATCATGAAAAAGTAAGGACATTCTAAGGAGAAGAAATAAACTAAAGGACTGAGAACAAACTGCCTTCAGCAGAGAGAGATGAGAAGCAGATTTTCTGTCATTATGTTCCCCTCTCCCACTGCTATAATGCTAAATTGATAATACAGTTTAAAAAAGCAAACACTTTATTCCTCCATTTCATGCCATCCCAGCTGTGCTGTACTCTGACTGCTGGTGTTACTGGGTAGCTTGCTTCACGACTCAAGATTTCTCTCACGTAGACTGAGCTGGATCTTGTTAGTGTGTGCTGCCACTGCAGAAACAGCCTCGTGTCTTTGGGGAGCGTTTTGGGATGTACAACTTGTTGTGCATGCTAGTGGTGTGTTCATATCAGAAACCAGCCTGATCCACAGAACTTCAAGGTAGCCTAAGACCCAAGGCACTGACAAGAAAGGAATAGTTTGATTTGAAAGTAACCTGGAAGGCTATGTGGCCTCTATCTCTCCAGACTTCAGCAGCTGATGAATAAAAAGACAGAGGAAACACTCATGGAATCTGAAGGGACAGAAAATTAAAGAGAGAAAAAAACCCAGCTGAGGAATATCTGTGGCTTTTCTGCCTGTGCTAATGCAATCCTCAAACTCTGATAGAGCCCTTCCATGCTAATGTAGCCTCCTCATAGCTAATGCTTTTGGATTCAAAATTGAAACTAAGTGATATCAGACAATTTACTTTAAGTGCGAAACATCTATACTTTCCAGTTTGCTGTTTCAGAATATCACATTGTGGTCACAAAAATCTTATTTGCTTCACAGTCTCGTTAATTCATACAGAAGAACCAAAAGACAAGCAAAGACAAAAAGAGCTCATTTCATTTTGCCAGTAGAGCCTAGCTCAGAGGGTTGGCTTTCTGGGTTGTATGCAGCCCAGGGAAGCAGCTCTTACACTGGTGTACCTGGAAAATAAAGCACCTTCTTCTGACTGTCCCTGATCCTGTTTCTAGCCCTACATACTTAAAGCTGCTTTTATTTGTCAAGCTTATCACAGTTCACATTTGTTATCATCTCATTAGGGAGTGATGCTTGGAACAAGTTTGTTTGCCATGCAGCTTTCCCTATGCATAAAAATCCTCCATGACTTGACAACTCTAAGGCAAGACTAGCAGAAAGCAGGACTGCAGGAAAATAACTCAAGCATAAATATTGTAGTGTTTTGGTTTTTTTCAAGAGCACATGATTTACATTAATATTCTGCCTCACCAGAAACTCATTGACAATTTGCCTGTGCATTTATTCAGTATTTTAAGGGAAAAAAAAAAAAAAGAAGAAAGAAATACTTGAAATGGTGGCCATTAAACACCAGCAACAACTGAGGGATGGAGAAACATCTTTGTTAATGTACTCTGTCTACTGCCAGGCTGCATAGACATGGTGGATACATCTTCTGACAGATTTGATGGGTGAGAAGCCTTCATACATGCTCAACAGGAAGACGCTAAGGTTGGTGGCCAAGGGAAGATGATTGATGGTCTTCTGTGTGTTGATAAAAAAGCCTGGGGACTCCCCTCTAGCAGGCTGACTCCTCCCCACGCCACAGAGTGTCATCCCAGCAAGTGTGTGGGCCAGGGCAGGACAATTGGTCATGCCATTCCCCCCTCCCTGTGTCTCCTCCTGCCAAGCTGCTGAGCAGGCTCCCAGCTTGCATCCGACACAAGGAGAGGAGTGGTTGGTGTGGGACTGCCACAGCACAAACACCTCCCTGCTAGACCCCATGTCCTGCTTGTAATTTCTTCTTTCCTTTCTGGTTTTCTCGCCAATGGTCCGTGGCACAAGTTTCCTCTTTCAGGAAGGAATACTACAGAGATTTTTTAGCTATGTTTTGTTTCTACACAAACCTCTCAGTTTCTCTCAGGTTTTTCTTAAAGGGGGAACAAACCTCAGCCTCTTCCCTTACCTTCCAACAAGTACACTGGTGCTTTAGAAGACCAAAACAAAGACTGAGCAGAATTGCCTTAAGTCATGCACGAGGGGAATGAGTATAGATACAGCTTATTTGATCTTCCAAAAAAACTTATTTCATGTTTGCAGCAGAACACTCTGGGCTGTTCCTGCAGATCAAAGGTAACTGGATCCCTGGATCAAAGACTGCTAGTGAATTAGCAGTGGGACCACGTGAGCAGAAGTCTCTTCATCTGTCCAGAGATTCACCTGGCAGTGAATCTCAAACTGCTTCCAACCCACCCTCCTGCATCTCGCCCACAACCCGTGCATTAACCAAGCCCTGCAACATCGATTTCAGAGTCATGATGAGATGATTTACAATACATAATGATATGTCTTTATTTCATCAACAGAAATGGTGTCTAGACAAAATTCAGTTAACACTAGCAATTCAAATGAATGAAAAGGGTTGGGTGGTTTTTTTTCATTTTTGTTTTTTTGCACAATACTGTATTTACAATGAGTAAATGACATTTTAAATTCATTAGTTCATAGCAATGCTTTCTTCCAAAAAGGTAAAAATTCTTAGTAACAGAGAGTAAGCATCAACAGCCACCTCATTTATTTATACAATAAAAATCACAAGAAACCACAGTCACCTAGAAAAAAAAAATAAAGACAAGCTTAAGAACTAGTACAATAAAATGATGCATTGAATTAAGTTACATTAATCGCATAGAATTTGTGTAAAAAGTATGTAGAAAAAACACCTGATGTAACCTGTTACAGTCATTGACCAGTTATGAGAGGTACAGAGGGTTATACAGGTAGATATGTGTGAAAACTGTCCATACTGTTTGACCTGGGGAGGAAGAGAAGAGGGGTTGCACCCCCTTGCATACACTGATAAAACCCTGTTTTGAATATGGCCTCTGAAGTTTGTAAGGCATATAGAAGAGGTGCACTTGTAACCAACTGGTTCTGGAACAAACTCTTAGGGCATCCCCACCCTTGAAATCAAAGGTGATGCTTGCAACTTTGAGTAAACAACCACACATCGAATGTCACCAAAGTGTTTAGTATCATTCCTGCTGGTCTGAGGGATCCAGAGAGCTTCAGGCAGAGCCAACGCAGCAGTGAGAACAGGACTGCAACCATGCGCGCTTCCCTCGGGTACATCACAGCTGCAGGGTACCCCTGCCTGGGCAGGGGGTGCCAGCCACAGCCCCCAGCACAGGCAGCTGCTCCCTCCTCTGCCCACACCCCAGAGCACGGGCTCCTCTGGCTGCAGGGATGAGCCCACTGTCCACTGCAGCCCCTGCCTGGCTCCCTCCAAAGCAAGGGGGGGTCGTTTGGGTTCGTCGCCTGGGACCATCTCTGCTTCTAAGCAATCAATGAAATCAAACACTGCCAGTTTCCATTTCTATTTTGGGATGTTAGTTTCTTTCTGTGTGCCCTTAATTAGCCAAAAGGGACAACAGTAGCACTGCAAGAACCACATAGTGCCTTTCACTTATTGCAAGGGCTCTGCCCACAGTCACTTAAGTTTGCACAAGAACAGGAGTCATCTATCTGGCTTTTTAGCAGTCGTTTGGTTGGGGTAATAAGCTTATAAAAAGACACTTTTAGCATTCCTTCCTGCCAAAAAGTGATTTTGTTTGCAAAAATGGCAATATTATTCATGTACTACCTTAAAATGCTCATCAATAATTGACTTCAATATAAATAATACCTATCTTGGTGGAGTGTAGGAAAATACTGTACACTTAATCTTTGCAAGTAATGCCATTAAAATTTTGAGAGTAAAGGGAATAATTATTCCACAGACCACCAACAATAGATCTTTTAAATATACACACAGTATTTGAACATATGCATATACACATATATTGTATTCTACAGCATCAGACCTGATGCCTGAGTCATAAAATACTCCAGGGAGTATTATAAATATACATATACGTATTATAAACAGGAAAATACACAAACACACAATCTGACTAGAATTATAGATGTATGTATACATACATACATACATGTATTTTATATATGGAAGCAAAATTAACTTGGACTGTGTTGGCAGAGACAAAACTGAAATGAAGTCAAAATGTGTTGAGAAATTTTTTAACAGGAAAGACAGCAGAAATTCTTTATGTTAATAGTTTGAATTTCACATCACTTCTCATAAAAATAAAACTGCTCCATACTTAGCAGATCCCCTCCTTATGCAAACCCGCTGCTCATGCTGAGATAAAACTTCTCAAGGCAGCCCTAAAATAGAGACTTTTAAAATGCTGTAGCCATGGGCTACAACATTCACCCAGAGGCACCTTCAAAAGCATCTCAGATCAGAGGAAAAAAAGGTGGAAGCAGCACTCCTTGTTGCAATGGTACAAGACGTCCAGTGGAGCAAAATGTGAGCCTGTGGAACCTGGCAAATACCCACTTTGTCTCACTGCAAAATTCACTATGGGTCTCCTATTCTGCAAACACACCCCTTGCTCTCCACCACCACAGCAGTGGATTACAAGACACAGATGAGGATGTGGTGTTGATTCTGGAATTGTAATGCTTCACCATGCTTTCTCCTAGTGGATAAGTTTTCATTCTATTACAGGATTATAGTGATTCCAGCATGCAGATTTGTTTTATTTACTAGGCAATCATGAAGTCACATATTTAAAAAATTAACTATATATCTAGGCATTTTAACTTCTATTTAAGCGCTCTTTAGGATAGAGACATGATGAAGTGTCACACTCCAGATTAACAACCACAGTATCAGCATTAATCATGTCTCTGGCAGGAGTTAATCCATTTAGCAAAGTTACATATCTCGTTCCCACTCTGCTCTTTAGAGAAGTAGCAGTTAGCATACTAATCACTGTGGCTTGCTTTTGCAGCACATTTTACTTCCTTGGGAAAAAAAAATAATACAGGGATTAGATCCAAAAATATAGTGCATCTTAAAAGCAGCATATACCCTTAGAAAGACATTTAATAAATTACTTGTACAATATATAAAATAATAGTTTTATACTGCAGCATCAAACTCTTGACGCCTGAGTCATCACGTTAGGAAGTCAGTGATATAAATACTGGGATCTCCTGATAATACAGCCAACGTTTTTGCTTTTGTTTTGCTTGTTTTCTGTTTTGTTTTAGCTCTTTTTTTTATTTTTTTAATTTATTTTTTCACTACCTTTTTGTTCCAGAATCAGCTTGCAATGAGCTTTAATTGTGTTCAAGGCACCCCCAGAGAACGCAGAGAAACAAACACATTATATAGTGTAGTACTCACCTGACAAAGCATAACAAGCCTAAATGAAATGAGGTTTCCTGGCAATACAAGTATAGCAATGGCAGAGGAAAAGGAGGACTAGATACAGACTGGACAGAGCTCCAAGGACTCATGTGCCCATGGGAGCAGAGCAGTGCTCAGCAGGGAGATAGGGTCTCACCATGCCATTCCCAAGCAACGCCCAGCAGGAGAGATGCTGCATGTATCCTCTTTGACAAATGCAAAGAGATTCTTAAGATCACAGTGACCACTGGCCAAACTCCTAGAATTCTGCAGTCAGATTTTTTTTTCGCTCTTTCCAGTGAAGTTTTGTGGTCATTTGGTTTGACCTCGTGAGACAAGAATGGTTGGGTATGTAAACTGACGTCCAAGTCTGAAACTAATTCTCCCAATACCTTCCTTTAAACGTTAGCCCAGTAACTGCTTTGAAAGCCACATGGTTCAAATAGCAAAAAAAACCTCAAAACAAAATAGAAACAAAAAACAACCACCACCACCACCAAAAAAACCCCACTGAAAAACCATGATACATGTAAATATAGGAAGCAATGACACAAAATCAGCCACTTCTAATGGGAAAGAATGAAATCAAACATCCAGAAAAGCTTGCAGGGGAGGGAAAGAGAGAGATGAGAGAAAGGTTGCGGAAGAGACACTTATTTGAGCAGTGGTTTTAAATATCAGTTCCCAAGGTAGAGGAAATCAAGGGACCCAGCACCAGTATGAGGCCAGGTCAAACCTAAGAGCTGCAGCGCAATGGGTTGTGTGGGTGGGTTTTTTAAACCATTGGAATGAGGTCAAGAGTACCAGTTGCACATGAGTTGTTAGTAGAGTAAATCTTCATGTCAGGAAGCAAGTTAAAACTTGGTTTTATACTCATAAAACATTCTATCTATTCATATATATAGGAGGTCACTTAAAAATAAAAAAGGCAACAGAAAAACATCTTTAAAATACTGTGTCAGTTGACCCTTCCCTCCCGCCCACCCCCAACCCCCCCAAGTAGCTATGACTCTATAATGTGATTCACATTTAGTTTTAAATTCTAGCTTTCACCATGGTCTCATAGAAACAAAACTTCTCTGCGAAGCACAGAACTGCTTTGCAACGTCAACAAATTCAAAGGAAAATCAAATCCCATCCCCCCACCAAAGAGCTTCTCAGTGCAGTTACCTGCAAAGGATGGTTGGGAGGGGGTTCAGATATTTTTAGGTTAAGTTCTTTTAAAAAGAAAGGACAACTCCTCCCCCTTTTTCAACTGTGTGAACTAGGAGTTTATGGCATTTGTATATTTTTGAACATTTAAAGGTAAGGATTTTGTACAGTAATGATTAATACCTAAACATAAATATTCTCCTACATTATATACTAGTTTTTCTTTGTACATGCGGGGGAAAAAAGTATTTTCAACAAACATGGCACATGCTATATGCAGTTCCTCCTCAGTAGCTTGGCTACAATTACAAGAGTTTGCATGAGGAGGATAAAAGCAAGACTTTGTGGCGAGTGGGCGACAGTCCATGAGCACAGTCTGAAGATGGAAGAAAGTGGAGAGAGGGAGCTGATTCCTCCTCCAGGGTTCAAGATGCTGATCTACTTGAGTGCCTCAAAAAACCACCAGCGCACACCTCTAGTGTAAACGTTAGCACAGAAGACCACATTATCACTTAGTGCTTCTGAGAAGCTGCTTCCCCACACTTTTTTTTTTTTTTAACAGGTGTGAACAGCTGGTCATTTTTTTTTCAGCGAGAACAAACAATATCAGCCAATAAAGCACATGACAGTTGTCGTCAATAAAGCCACACAACCTGGCACATGTAGGGCAAAGAACCACAAAATAAAAACTCAGTACACTTAGAATAGTAGTAATTATTAAAAAAAGCATTAGGAGGTTGTTCTTCTGTCTACACTGTACATACAGATGTTATGCTTGGAAAGCTGCTGTCTCACACAGTCATAACATGAGTCAACATTAAGATACAAGTCCAATACAGTTACAACTAAGCCAATTCACTGAGTAGTCTCCTTTGAGACAGCGCTCTTTTAGCTGCAGTTTGTGCTGAGGGCAATGCTGCAGGATGAGAGGATCCCGGAACACAACAATTTGATGGGTAAGTGACCAAATCGGGTGTCGGCAAACGTATGTTTTGCTCTTAGAGGATACAGTGCTAGCTGGACTTCCGTAAGGAAGCCAAAGTCAACAACTAGGGGTGTGATCCTGCAACTCTGCCTGCCTAGGCAGGGTCACTGACTTCACCTGACCCACCTCTACAGCTTGGGTCTGGTTGGGGAGAACAGGTAATGTCTGAGGACAGCTGAGGTCAGGCTCTGGGGACTAGCCGGAGCAGCAGTTGCTTCCATGAGTAAAGGATGCAGAGTGGGGCTGGAGAAAAAGCCCCCAAGTATATTGACGTGATCTCTGTTTGCTTTACTTCGTGGAACATTTGATGAATTGATCCAGTTGTCAAATACACTTTTCTCTAAAGAGTGAAATATACTTTCCCCTATAAGACTCCAAAAGCATCATTAACTCACAAGCACTTAAACTTGGTTTGTGAAACAGAAAGAAGTCTAAATATAAAAATAATTCAAGCAGATTCTCTTTACAAATTGTATAGTGAATTCAGTATTTGGCAAGACTGTTTTTACTACATAATGAGCTCCTGAGTGTTTGTCTATTAGATAAAAATTTTCTATTTCCTTTAAGCCATAAAGCAAAGAAAACCATATACTCAAGTTATTCTGAAGTCATGACTTCATTAATGAAAAGAGGTTTGACCAGAAACTCAGTGCAAGTGGCAAAGTTGACCATTACTGTACAGTATCTGCAAGAAAATAAAATAACTCCACATTGCTCAAGTGGCACGAAATGGCTGTGCCAAAAAAATTGTCTATAATAAAATCTCAAATAAGTTTCCGACATTAAAGTTTTATAAATAAGTACAAATTGAATGCTATTGCTGAACTGCGAACTGAGGAAAAAATTACCGTGTAACAAGTTACCAAACTAGTTCTAGCATCAAAGACAAAAAGGAATGTTGGAACTTGTTTGTACAATAGAAATGAAAGCTTCCAGTTTGTAGGATGAGAAAATTGAGGCATGCAGGGACTCTTGCATATGGATATATATATTTTATATATATTATATATAATATGTACAGTTTAGCTATAAAACTTTGATGTGTAAAGAAGCTGTCTTCAATGAAAAATTGAACATTCAGAGGAAATTCCTGAGTTAGGGTTTTGTGACATGGGCCACTGAGAAAAAAGCTGCGGTTGGGTCCTCAGAGGTGTTATGTCCATCCCTGTTAAGATTGAAATCAACATACAAAAACAGACAGTGTTGCCACTGCTTCGTTCCCTGCCTGAGCAAGGGATAGCACCATTGTGAAGAGAACTCCTGCTTGTAGAGAGGAGGGAATACTTAAAAACAGTATTGCTGCTAAGACCACTGTAGTGTGCACCAAATACGTTCTTCTAGACAACAAATGAACACTGCCACTGGCTGACTGAAGAACACCTGACCAGGTGTAACGTTAAGGTTATGAGTCACTAGGTGTAATCTTTCCTAGGTTGTTCATCTGTTGTACATTTATCAGTCATTTCCTGACAGAAGTCTACCGTGACCGTTTGGCTGCTTTGCTCTGGTGGAAGCTCTCTCTCGGGGTAAGTACCTGCATCGGCTCCATCCAATCCCGCGCCAGCCGAACAATTTTCCGAGATGTTGTTGGGCAGCCAGGGTGCTCCCAGCTGCACTGAGCCTTGCTCCGAGCAGCACTGCATGCTCTCCCCGACGCACTGGGAGGTCACCAGGCTCTGCTCCACACCAGCTGGGGCGGGGCTGATGGTGGTGACCGGCTGTAGATCCATGGGTCTGAGAACGGGGCAGTATCGGTGGAGGGCTTGGATCTGTTCTGGGCTCTGCATGTCTCTACACACTTCTTGGGAAAGACACGAGAAGTTGTCTAACAATTCTCCCATGCTTGCTTTCAGCTGGTTCCTTTCTGAGAGCAATTTCTCTTTCTCACACACCTGGAAAAGACAGAAGGCATCTTAGGCTGAGGAAGGGACATTCATTGCCAGCTCACTTTGGGCATGTATGCAGCAGTACCGAAGAACACCAATGTGCTACACTTGTTTTCATATGGCCAGAGGAAAAGTCACAAAGACATCAAGTATTTGACCACCATGGCCTGTTTGGACAGTATTTGGGAAACATCTGGAGAAAAACATTTGAACTGGAAGAGGATAGAATCCCAAGAGATTCCCACAGAAGTGCTCCCTTTATAAACTAAGGCTGCCTGACAGATGATACAAAAAAAACTCCGAACAAAACATTTTGAGGGAGAAATGCCATTTCCTATCTAATCAGCAAGAAAATGTGATAATTCCTGAAGTGAGGAATGCTGCTGATGTTTACTTCACCCTTGAACTGTCAGGTTGGCTGCTTAGGCTGGGTGCACGCCTCAGAGCCCTGTTAGCACTGAGAGAGGTGAGTTTATTCACTAGGGGATTTAAGTGTGCTCCACGGCCTGCACTATGGCTTGTTTTCTTATGTTCTGCTGCTTAAAGGCTTGGGCTTGAGCTCATACAGATATTTTTATGAACCCAGGCTAGGGTTTCACCTCTAAAAAATGGTGTTGACTCAGTGTAGACTGACTGGGATGGTCCTGCTGCACCTCCTTCTGTCTCAGGCAGGTGGGCATACAGCTCAAGAGAGTAGATGAGATTTTGTAGAGTACCAGAACTATTTCCAGAGCTGAGCTGGCCCCAAAAGCAGCACAGCCACGTATCTCACCTAGTAACACTGCTAAACCCAAGATGTCTCAGCATCTGAGGTGTGAAAGTTCCACAACTCAGATAATCCAACTATGGGTGGTTGTTGACAGCTGATAGTATTGCTCTGGGTCCAGAGCCCACACTGGAAGCATACAGCTGTGTGAATGTGAAAGAGAACAGTGCACATGAAAAGAACTAACTGCTAAAATATTGATAAATCTATCAAGAAAGCATAAAATAATAAAAAAATAAACAGATGCTCAAGTACATCTTGAGATGATGAATTATGGAGGAGAATATGCTGTGAGTTTGCAGGGAAAAAAAGGAATGTGAGTGGGTAGATGAATGAGTGAGAGAAAGCAGGCAAAAAAAATTACCTATCAAACTCTGAGGATACAACCATTTCACTCACTGTCTGCTGTGAAACCATCTGTGTCAAGAAGATGGGTGACTTACAGTAAGTAAACTTCAGGGGGAAAAGGGGTCTTTTGTAAAAAAGACCCAGCCAAGTGAAAAACCCTTAAACCACAGCACCATTATGTAATTCATGAGACTGGAAACTGCTGATCACAAAGTGGACAGACTACTACAAAGGAATTTCCAGTGGTCACGTGTTGTGTGTTCATTCTTTTCTCTGTCCCTGTCTTCCAGCTCAGGGGGCTGGGTACCCGGAGGACAACCAGTCTTACTATTAAGACTGAGGCAAAGAAGGCATTAAGTACCTCAGCCTTTTCCTCCTTCTCTGTTGCTATGTTTTTACTGCATCCAATAAATGACAGAGATTCTCCTCGGCCTTCCTCTTCTTGCTTCTCTGTTTAAAAAACTATTTTTATTGTCTTTTACAGCAGTAGTCTGGTTAAATTCTAGGTGGACTTTTACCCTTCTAATTTTCTCCCTGCATAACTTCATTATATTCTTGTAGTCCTCCTGAGTAGCTGCCCCTTCTTCCAAAGATAATAAAATTATTTTTTTTCCTTGAGTTCCAGACAAAACTCTTTGTTTAGCCAGGCTGAACAATGTCTCATATTTCAGTACAGGGGATCAGCCTGCTCTTGTGCCTGCAAGATTTACTTATTGAAGAATCCAATCTTCCTGGACTCCTCTGCCCTTCAGTACTACCTCCTAAGGGATTTTCCCAACCAGTCTCCTAAATAGGCCAAAGCCTGCATTCTGGAAGTCCAAGGTGGCAGTTCTGCTGACCCTCCTACTTAATTCTCCAGCAAACAAAAACTCCATAATCTTGTCATCACTGTGCCCAAGAAGGCATCCAATCATCACTTCACCCAACAGCCCTTCACCGTTTGCAAACAGGTCCAGCAGGACCTCCAGCAGGACCTTCCCTACTTGGCTCACTCACTGCATATTGCCACATATTCAAGTCCCCTTTGCTAAATAGGAACATCAACTTTTTTTTGGGAAGAATCCTGTGCCTCAAATGGTTTTTGATTCCTCAAGCTGAGCAGGGATTAAGCCCGCAAGGCCACTCATATGCCTTTCATTCATTCCCCTGAGATGAGTGTTTGTGCTGGGGAGAGGACTTAAAATTTTTATTTTGTCTGTCTCTAGTTTACCATATCAGGCAATAATAGCAATGTCACAGGATTGCATGAAATCAATTAACTCAAACTAATTTTCAAGTGAAGGCTACAGATATAAGGCTGAATCACCCCCTGCTGCTAGTGCAGTCCTCCAAGTGCTGCCCGTGAGGCTATGGAGAATAAGAGACAGGAACTCCTCCCCATCACCAGCTCAGTACAGAGAGACAGGCATGTGCAGCTAAGACTGGACCTGCTTCTTCTGGCAACTTGATGAGGATCCATCCACTCTTTGACTGTGCAGAACCTGTGAGTCACCCTGTACACACTGTGCATTATACTCAGTGCAGGAAGCAGTTGCTCACTATTTTGTTTATCTTTGTTGTGTTGTTTGTTTTGCATCAGTGGAGCACTACTCTGAACAATGTTTTGATTTTTCTTTTTTTTTTCCCCCAGGGCTTCAGCAGCACAGCATCTGAAGACTTCAGAGACCTTGATGATTTAAGCCTCCCAAGCAGCTTGTGAGGTCAGTGTCACATTCCCTGTTACAGACGGGAAGCAGACAGGCACAGGCAGCAAGTGAGTAACCCAAAGTCATGCGGCTTTCTGCCATTTGTGAGGTGATGGTAACTCAGCTTCTTCCAACAGATCCCTGCCTCTTTCACACTACGTTTCCTACAGCTTGAGCAGAGAACAAGGCAAAATGAAGCACAAAAAATCCCACCTGAGGTGTCCATACCATGACTGAAGGTGGCAAGAATTTTCTGAGCAGCCTCTTGGGCTCACTCCAGTCTCCTCACTCCCTTACATTAAAATGTAGTGGCACTGCCCACTGTGAATTCTGCTCATGAATGTACAAACTGACTGAACCCATGAAGTCGGGACTGGAATTGCTGTTGGTGCCCTGCAGGCTACAGTGTGAGGGTGAGCTGGGCTGTGGCGAGGGCACGGAACTCACCAACTTGCGGATTTCACATTCGAGGTTCTGAATACAGTCCAGTTTCCTCTTGCGGCAGCGCTGAGCTGCAATCCGGTTCTTGCTGCGCCGGCGGACATCGTGGATGAACTCGAGCTGCTCTGAGGTTAGCTTGTGCATCTTTATCATCATCTGGAAATCATTCCTTGGAAGATCTGTGATTTGATCAACAGGAAAAGGAAGTTTCACCTAAAAAAAACAAGACAAGAGCAAAGAGTCATATTTTGCTTGCTCAATGCAAGCTGAACAACAGTGAGCGGAAGGACGATTATCTTCGCTGCCACCCCCTCAATAAACAACAAACCAAGTTTTACACTGAGCAAGTTCTTCCCTTGTGGCACATTGTGGAGGTCCAGATGGTAAGGATAAGATGATAATCGTACTTAAATCAGCGACACATATGAATCCCAGATAAAAAATTTCATCTTTCTACAAAGCCTTAAGAAATGATCTCATTGCATTTAAAGGAGGCTCTGTCCACTAAGAGACATGGCCTTTTGGAAAGAGTGAAGTACCTTGCTGCTATTATATTCAAACTAATTTCAAGGAAGGGGCTATTACCACAGCAGGAAATGTGTATCTGCTTGGACTGCAGGACTGAAAGTTTGATTAAGTATGAGGTTAAAAATACAACCTGACACCTCAAGTGGATGAAAAATAATGTATTGCAATTAGGAAAGGTCACCTAATCAGCATTTCAACTAAGCAAAACACTGTATACGAATAAAGGGTCAGAGGAGTGTGATGCAACATATCCTATCCTGCTAAAATATATACATTTTAAAATAAACCTGTTTATGTTGATACTCTAATATTCTTGCAGACTAAAGAGCACTGAAATTGTATTTCTTGAAAAGGTCAGGGTCTGACTTCAAGAATACTAGCAATTATACATTAAAGCAGAGAAAAACACAAATCTCCCAGCAGCCTGAAGCAATGAACACACACTGTGTCAAAAGCTGAAGAATGGTGGATGTGCTCAAAGCCTTTTAGGTTTTTTTTTTTTCCCAAAATCTATCAGCTTGCTCAAATCAAATTAAGCACCTCCCCTTAGAAACCTTTGCTTCACTTAGAGCCTCAGACTGATAACTATCAAAAACCAGATGTTCTTCAGCCAACTCTTTTATTTGGTGGTCAGATAAGAGTCAGCTGACAAAGGTGAAGGAGATGCAGAGCAATTAGACTGACCCCTTCTTTTTTTTGAGTCATACCCACACTGCCCAAAAGATGGCAGTAAATATTTATGTTTCTGTCCCTATTTGGTACAATCTCATCTGGAACAAGGAGACTATTCTGCACACAGGCTAGCAAAGAAGGTAAATTGCTCCAGCCAAACAAAAGGTACAGGTGAAAAAAATTCCTTTGATATTTAAAACATGTATTTTCTTCCAATGGTGCACTTAATAATTATTTGGAAGTAAAAAAACTAACAACGTGGATTATAAGTTTTTTTCTTCAGAGAGCTGAGTTGTTCAAGCAGAACAGTTTGCTGAGGACACACGTACACCAACACACAGCAGCGGCCTCTGGCATCGACAGTCATGGACCCTCACCAGGCACCTGAGCCTGCCAGTAAGCAGCTCCTCACCTTGTTTATAGGTGTTCTTGGCTGCTTCTTGTACCCTTCTAACATTGCTCCGTGCATTGCCAAGCCTGGGGTACGTGAAGTTCTGTGCAAACACCAACCACATTCTTTGAGATGGCTTCATGCCCTGAATGTTCATTCATGCCCCTCTGCCTCACATGTCCAGGCAATGCTTCATAACACACTACTTTGACAGGTCAATTTAAAGCAGCAAGGAATGCCAAACACTGCCCAAACCCTCCCAAATTCTTGCTTGTACACACAAAGGCTGACCTTAGGCACAGGGATGTGAACTACCTTGTTTACAGACTGCCAGTTAATGACATGAAACCTGTTTGATTTCCCCTCCCCAGCCTTTGGATGGTCAACATAAGCTCAATGTAACCTGCTTTTCTCTCAAGCTTCTACCAGGGTCTGAAAATGAAAACAGACAGTTCTTTTCTCTGAAAGACATCAGTTTCACTGCAAAACCAACCGCCTCATGTTCACAGTTTTTCCTTATTTTCTTAAGACCAAAATGGAAAGGAATGTTAACTTTATTTCTCCCTACCTCTCCCTTTCAAAACATATTTACTTGCAAGGAGATGTGTTTGCAGCTGGAATGAAAGAGAAGCAATTTAAATATGTCAGGTAGAAGTTGCTGAAGGGAAATGGGAAAATAAATTTAAAAAGATTCATTAAAAAAAAGGGATTTAAAATAAAACCATCTACACAGCAGATCAGAGACTGCTATCAGTAATCCCAGCATAATCCCACTCCTGTCACAGGCAGCACTGCACAGGATTAAAAATGTGAAAGGGAAAGTGGAAGTGAGTCAGACTCATTTCCTTCACCATTCACAGCATTTTTATTGCCTGTCTCCCTCTTCGAAATCAGCTGTCAACTGAAAAAAAAAATACCAACCCACCAAGCTTTTGGCACGGACACAGTGAATAACTGCACCGGGGTGTTGCTGCTGTGAGAGGCTAAAGTGTTTTACATCTGCACAGGGCAAGACTCTCAGCTGCTATTTATCATAACAGAGTGGTGAGTCATTTTGCTAGAGCCCGCAACTGTGCAGTGGGTGGGATTCATCTGACTCACCCAGAGCTGCCTGAAATGATGGGTTGGGACTACCTAATGTCCTGCTCCCCTCAGATGGCAATGCTGCACAGCTTCTCCTTCCTGGCTGCAGAAGGGGTGGACTTAAAACTCAGAAAAGATTCTGCATCCCACAGTATCTGCAGGAGGTGAGAGAAACTTACCTGAGGTGTCTGAGAAACACAGTCAATCTTTTCTAAGATATGAAAGAAAACCCCAAGGAGCATGCTTTCTTGTAAAGTTTTCTTTCTAATTACTATGATTTTTTGGTTCAAACGATTTAAAATTTAAAGTGCAAGTGGGATCCCTGCTCCTTCCAGGAGTTACTCCAGCCAGAGCTAACCTCACAGAAATCCAAAATCATCTCTTATCAGCACAATTACTCTTTCCCTGCATTTTTACACTGGCAGCACAAGCTTGCTTTCCACCACACAACAAATAAACTGGCACCTTCTACCACCACTGCAGACTCTACTGCCCCAACTTTGCCAATCCACCCTGGGGAAAAAGGAAACCTGGTTAGGATTTTGTGGCATTTCCCACCCCCCACTTATTAGCATTAGGATGCCAGTGGAAATGTCAATGCTTTGAGAGGCTAAGTCAGAGCAGTGATGTAGACAGACAGGGACAGGGACTGACTCAGCACATGCAAGGCCCATATATAATCAATTAATTCCTTCAAGCTTCACTAGTTAGTGCCAGCTTGGATCATATGCCAGCTGCTGCTGTTTTGCTCTTCTATTGTACTAGTTACTGCTGCTGCTCTCCCCCCTCTCTTTTTCACCTGGAATAAAGGAAAGAACCTAGGACCTGTATTCACTCCCATTAAAATATAAAATGTCAACTCTTGGGAATTTCTTTATCCTATGAGTAACCTTACCATCTTCATTCTTTCTTTATATCTTAATTAAGACATCATCTCACCCTAACCAAGTGTTAGTAAAGGCAATAAACTTCCCAAGTGTCACTTTAACATCACAGTAACTTAAAGGACAAATATTTTATCCATAACAAAAAGCAACCATTATGTAGTGGGCATGGGAAGGTGGAACTCATTGTCCCAGTTGGTCAGTTGCTCCAGAGCTGTAAGAAAAAAGCCTGCTGCCTTAGTGCCCTCAAATCCTGAAAGCCTCTGACACTCAAGCTTGCTGATCCTTGGAAGGCTCTCAGGACCCACCCAAACAATCCAGCCCAGGTACTCAATAATATTAATGCCTTTTTAAAATGCAGAAATGGGTACTTGGCTTCACACAGAAGAGCCCAAGGCATTAATGTCGTGTTTTCAGTGTTTTCAAGTATCTTCTGTAGCATGCAAGGAAGGTTTGTCTTCCACAAACACTCAGGAAGAAATTAATTCCACGGCAGGAGCTGAGGAGTGCCCACCTGTGATAGGGGCTCAATTGTCTACAGGGTATTTCAGGCACCACTTGTGGTCCTGCAGACTAGGGACCTATTCCTGTCCTAATTTCATCTGGACAAAGGCTATCCAAGAAGCCCAAAGGTAATGGGCCATACTTTGTGCAAGGGATAGCCAAGATGCATTTTCTTATCCTGCTGTCTACTGACACAGATAAAACCTTCAAAACACCTCCTTTTTTCAAGTGTCAACTACACCAAGATGGCAGAGGACTGCAAAAGGCGAATGATGAGCCCAGGCAGTGAAGATCTACCATTGTGTCAACAAACCAGGGTCTAAACTGTCCCACTTCAGATCAGCAGGTTCCATTGCAGTATGTTCCATCTGACACAAGACAACTGATGGCCCCGTAGCGGTGTGGGGTCAACTCCAGCCTCACCTTGTGAGGGCCATGAGAGGCATTTGGGTCAGCAAATGCTGCCTGAAAGGGCACTGCTGGGTAACATTTTGATTTGCTACCTGCCTTACAGAAATGGGGGACCAGGCTAATCCCATGCCTGAGTGCTTTAACCCAGGAATCAGGAGATGTGGATGGGATTCTCATCCTTTAGCCCATGATTTGGACTTGTATTCAGACCACACACTGCTGGTACTTAGAATGCTGGGCTGACCTCTTCCCATTCACTGCTTGCAGTGTTCCCAGCTTCCAGCCCTTCAAAGAGCACAGCAGTATGATACTCCTGCTGTTTAATAGGCTTCTCTGAGACCAGATAGCACAGAAACACTGACAGAAACCACAGGTGCACTTAAGAATGGAAGATCAGGCAGTGAAATGACAGGGGATAAAGTACAGTATTTCTCTGAAAGAGTTGCTTCTGCAGCTCAAGAACTGGAGTCCTTCAAGAGCTTGTGCAAGGTCTTCAGACCGGAGTATAAAAGAATTGGTTGTAGGGCTCCACAAAATAATATAGTGTTTAAAAGGACCCTCCTGGAATTTCAAACTCTCAGTGTTGTTGTAATCCAACAATTCTTTGCTACCAGTATGGATACCATTCCTACTGAAGAGAGGAAAGAAAACAAAAATTCCATGAAATTTATCTTACAAGACCAATGTTTGACAAGACACCATTTAAACAGATATTGAGAAACAATTCCCAGTGCTCTGCTGATGCTATGCTAGTCAGGAGAATATCTACCAGAAAACAACCTGGAGACTAATTTTTCTCATTTTCAAATTTGCAAACCTAGTAAAATCAGGAAAGCTGGGGTGACTGATCATCAAATTCTGGGGAGTTATCACATACCACAGCAAGTTAAAACCTTCACATGTATTTTTCTTGGTTGCCTTTCTTTCCATGCTACATTCTTCACTGAGTAGGAATATTAAGCAGTGAAGCAGTCTCAGATGAGGTAACTCAACATAGTTACAGTAGATCTCTGGTAGAGCAGCTTTGGTTTACTGCTCTTTTCTGGGGCTCTGACTTGCAGGAAATTCTTTTGAACTACAGATGAGGAGACATTGAATGCAACTCTCTAGATACTAATAGTTCTTGGAAAACTCCACCTCTTACCTCCTCTTACCCTTGTTTATTTTTTTCCCTCAAAAAACTCACTTATCATATTAGACTGAGATGAGATTTCTTTTTAACTGGTTTAGTAGTACAACATTTTTTACAAATTTTCTAGCAGACAAAAAATCTAAAGTACTTGCTGATGAAAAGGAATACCAAAAAAAGTAGGTAGTGCAAAAGTTTCTGTTCCTTAAGTAGGTTAACAGATTGACAGACTACTTCCTTCTCAACAATTCATTATTTCAGGGCTTATTGTTTTGTTGTTGCTATTTTAAGCAGGATTGTCAGAACCTGCCTGTAAGCACTGAGCTTTATGTCTTCTCTCTAGTATTATATCTCAGTAATTGATTTTTCACAACCTGTGGAGGCCTGAGAGAACTGAGTGAAAAGAGCAACACAAACTATTAAATATTTCTGTCAAGTCCCAATAGCTGAAGTAACAGCCCTGTTCCTGCAACTCTGTACATGGGTACACCCTACACTGCGCTTGCTGCTTTTCTCAGGAAGCCTTAACAAAGGGAGATCATAGAAGAGTCTTGGTGGCTCCAGGAAAGGAAGCAATAAGCAAGGACATCCTGGAGAAGATTTACCAAGTGGTGTTCCAAGGACTGCCATCTCCTCTGACAGTTGTGACTGCTTTCTGCACCTCCAGTAAGATGGAGGTTTGTCACAAGCTGGGGTAACCTTCACTCACACGGCATCATGATGAACCCCAACACCCCACTTCTGGCACCAAGCAACTTTGGCCATGTGCTCCAGAATGGCATCTGTGTACTTCTCACACAATCAATACCCCAGCAAATGATGTTTTCTGAAATTAATTCTGGCAGCGACAGCACTCTGTGAGCCAAATTATGACCAACTAGGTCCAAATTCCAGGGGAACTGAGCAGCCCTGTGAGATAACTGATGGTCAGAGTCCACCAGGCTTATTCCCATCAGGCCATCCCACCCCAATAAAAGCTGACCTGCAGCAGAAGAACCTGCATGGCCACTCTCCAGAAGGTCAAGCATGTCACCCCCAGATACCTTATCAGGTGCCTTTTGAATAGAAGCCCAGAATACACTGTGTGTTCTGATATAGAGGGGGAAAGGGCCCTGTCTGTGAAGTCATCAGGACAGGAAGGGCAAAGCAACAATTTCAGGAATGGAGAAAGATTCCCATGCAGCTTGCAGGGAGGTGAAGAACAGAAAGCTGTCCATTTCAGACAGCTGTGAGTCTCTCCTGCTGTTTTAATCACAGCCAAACTACCAAAAGCAGGTAAAGCAACTTATATAAGAACTTCCTGCTGCTGTTATTTATTTTCTACTGTCTGGTTTAAGATACCCTTTCCTGAGCCTTCCACAGCAGCAGATCTTGCAGGATACACACCCAAGTCACTGTCTTAATACAGTATTGTTAAATAAGGCTGCAAAGTCTGCTCTTGTATTGGTAACAACCTTCAAAAGATCTATTTTTAAACAAAATAACAAAATCTCTACCAAAGCACTGGTGTGATTTGTTTACCCATGGCTTGTTCAGGATAGTGCAATGCAACCTCACAGAGCATTTATTTCCTCACCACATTTTTAATGCCTAGCAGTCCTAATCAAAATACCCTGGGGGAGGAAAAAAAAAAAAAAAATAAAAGCCTTATCAGCAGTCCCAGGGAGAAAACTTGCTCAGCACAGTTCAGAAAATCTTCCCCAGAGGAAACCAGAATCAGCAGCAAAACCAGGAGTGGAGCAGACCTTTGCTAGCACTGTCTCAGAGCCAGATGTCTGCCTGCCAGCAGCACTCCACACAGCTTCCTACAGCTGCCTGTTTGCTCCTTGTGCGTCCCTCCTCTCATCCATGCTCTCCTGCACATATTCACATATACCTTTCTTCTAGGAAACCACCACCTGTAAGCTTCTAATTTCATTCTTCCAGGCTCATTTTTGCTGCAGCATATTTCCACACAATTAGGTAATTATGACAGCTAATTAATTATCAAATCTCAAAAGGCTAACCTCCGCCCTCTGCACTGCCTCATGCTGAGCAAGCAGCACACATGGGTGGAAATGGATGGTCCCTGGTCCCTGCTGCCCTCTGCCCCTTGTAAAGACAGGACTTCACTGAGTAACCCAGCTACAGCCTGGGCTGCTGTAGGGCTTCCCAAATGAGATCTCCTGCACACTATCCCAGACAGCCTCCCTAAGAGACTCCTCTCCCTTCTGCATCGTCCCCTGCTTACGACATGAGGACAAAGAGGAACTGTCCTCTCAGAATCTCTGGTTCAGTGCGACCAGGGATTAGGACACCAGAGGCTCCCCAGCTCTTCAGCTCTCTCTGACAGCTAAGCAGCCATCTAAAGGAAGCACCCACATCTGTCTGAAAAATAAAGACTGGGATGTAGCTGGAATAAAGACTGAGGAATAAAGTTCACTCTTTTCATCCCCACTCCATAACTAAGCCCACATGGTTCTGAACTGGATGCTCTCAGCATATGAACCCTCCTCTCAGCACTTGTTGCTCCCCACACTGAAGCAAAAGCTCTCAGTGGAGTTTTTCAGCATTACTAGAGGAACCTGATAACTGATTTCACTCAGATGTTCTCTGGGTCATGCAGATTGCTAATGAAACTGTGAATACACCTCCAGTCTTTTTCACTTTCTGGACTCCACAACATATCTCCTTGATTTTAGTCTGCCCTAAAAGTAGTGACTTCACACAGACAGTTTATTTGGTCATGGTTAGACAGTTATCACTGCAGCATCTTCAGCTGGCCCATCTCTAGTTTCAGAGAGGGCCCCTCTTTCTCCTCCCCCTCTTGGGGGAGCTACATGAAAATTGACAGCTTGCTCTTCAGCTCCAGATCATTCTCTTGTCATTCCCTTAAAAATCTGGAAACTAAAGGATAACTTCTCTCTGAAACCATTCATGCCATGGCTGCTAGAGCTTTGAATAAAATGTCACAGGCAGGGAACATGATCTCAAGTTGTCACATAATAGAGGCAAAACGCAGTACCTGAACATGCAACACATACACACATACACACATGTGAAGATGACTTGAATGCCATTCCCACAGGACTGGGTGGCCAGCTATACAATTGTTTGAGTAATTTCACACCTCTGCTGGCAACATGCAGCCTGGCTCTTCAAGACAAGCTGTCCAACCCTTGGTGTCAGGAAAGGCACAGCTTGAGGTTGCTCAAACACACACACACAGCAGTAACAAGTGGAGCTGGAACCACCTCAACAAACTAAGAATAAGGAACAGTGCTTTGTGCCACAGAAGTCTGTGAGGGAGGAAGCAAGACAGGACACTGCTGGCAGAACCCAAAGCACATCAATGCACTCTTATCATTCAGCAGTTTGCTGTTTTCCTACACCCAAAATTTTAGAAGTGCTGAACACCTCAGAGATCAATCAGATCTATTTGTGGGAAGTCAATCACGTGCACTCAGCTGATGATGGAATAACCAGAAGTTACTCTTTACCCCTATAAACAAAGAAAGTGCTGGGGAAATGCAAAGTCATTTGAGAGAATGAAGGAGAGATTAATTGGGTCATAACAACTGTGATATATGTACTTATCTTAAATCCCTACCTCATGCCCTCTGTCTTGCACAGGACATGATTCACTGTCTGCTTCTGAGAATGACCCAGACTCATCGCTGGAGTTTGTTCCATAGGATGGCTCACATTTAATCTGGGCTCGGACCGGGTTGTACAATCCATCCCCCACCACGCCGGGCTCCTGGTGCTCGGGCGCCAGGAATCGGGGGCCTTGGGAGCAAGGGGAAGAGGAGAGCTCGCAAAGACGCAGGCTGCAGGGAGAGCCGCCGCTGCCGTCCTCTGCGTACGAGTAGGAAGAGCACGAGCTGGAGGTCCTGGTTCTGGTTTCCAGAGGAGGAGAGCGAGGGCAAACTTTAATTGGCACCGGACAGCTGGTGTTCGGCCGCATCCTTCCCGGCAAGTGATCAGCTGTCAGTCCGCCGTGCGAATAGGTCTGAGAGCTGGGGAGAGACTGGCTACTGCCTGCCCACAGACCCTTTGGCACAGTCTCAGTGAGGTCTTTGTCCAAGCTGCTCACACCAGAATATGAATGCACCGAAGTGTTTACTTGGTCACAAGCATTTGAAGAGAATATAACACTCCTCCTGTCCAGTTCTCCTTCTTGCTTACAGAGAGTTTCAAAGCCGGGCCCCCTGAGTGGTGATCCTACTGTGAAGTTGGAAGCATCCTTCTGCATGGCATGGGACTGTCCATAGTTCCCCGTGAAAGGGACATAATCAGTTTTGTGGTCACCCTGAGTTGTCCCTTTTTCAAAAGGGCATGCTGGACTCCTGCCAAAGTGCTGTTGGGAAGTGCTGGGGAAGCCAACCAAATCTATGCTTTTTGTTCTGTTGAAGAAAGACCGCAAGCAAGAAGGAGAAGACCCACTTTTTGGCCTATCGACACAAGTGAGGCTTGGCTGTTTCCTGTCCATTTCAACATCCCCTTCTTTATCCCTGATGTCAGGTTCATCTCCAGACAGGCAAAGTGTGATGCTTTCTTCATCGTTCTCTTCATTCTGAGGCTCACTTTTTATCTGCCCCATAGCAAGTCCTGATTTGAGGCCATTTCCAGAGCTCTCTTCACTGAATGTGCTTGCAAAACCTGAGGTACTGATGTGTGATGTGTTGTAGACATTCTTGGTACAAGCAAGCTGGTATTTCTTGTATCTGGGGTACCGTGTTACTGCATCTTTATCCAAATTGTCCTTGCTATCTCTCAGCATGTCAGAATCAGGCAGCATCCCTTCGCCTTTGTCTGCTCCAGCAACAGTGGTTTCAAAATTGAAGGGTTCTTGGTGCATCCTCTCCCTTGGGCAAGATATTTTTGACGTCTCCGATTCCATTGTCTCCTCCTCATCTCCATCGGAGTTCTCCTCATCATGCATGCGCTGACAGGTGGTATCTTTTTTGCACAGGAACAGGCCATCTTCATTGTTCAGCAGCTGTGTCTGCAGGAAGCTGAAGCAGGAGTCCTCCAGATTGTGCATGCGCAGGAACTCAGCGCAGTGGATGACCTCCTGGATGTTTTCCCTGCTGAGTAACAGCTTAGCAGTGTAGGCGAACTGTAACAATGGACCAAATCCCCTGACAGTGACCTGCAAAAGTAGAGAGGAAATTGCCAGTGTTACCATCAGCTTTTGCTATCATTCCAAGTCCTTCATCATGTGGTTAGATAAACTAACAGATCTGGCATTCAGAAATAAATACTGCTGAGCACCAGCTGTTCTTCTGTCACACCTGTAATGATGCTACGTCCAGGAAGATTGCTCCCTTTGTGTTGCTCCTGTACATCACTGTACAGGTTGAACTGAGACTATTTTCCCCAAGTATCTTGAAGATCTATGAACTAAGTCTCTGCCCTAATAAAAGACTGACAAAACTAGCCTGGACACAGCTAATTTTTACATGGATTTAATTTTAACTCTGCTACAGTACCCAACCATGAAAATACCGATTAAATTTTGATTCTTCTGCTCTGATGGAAGGTCCAATGAACAGCGGTTTCAAGCTTAAGATACCACTTATCCAAAAAGTGTTTTGGGAAGGAAACACTTAGTATTACAGAAAAATTCAAGAGAAAGCACCTTTATGCCTCTTTCAAAAGCAAACCATTTCCTCTTTTTTTTCCTCAATTTTTTGCAAGCCATTGCTGAATACATAATAGGTAAGTACAGACTGCATAACTTTCCTCCATCCCATGGAGATTATTCCCCTCATACTGTTCCTGATTTTAGTCAGCCTGAGGTACAGCTAACAGAAAAGAAATTAATATTTATAGTTCAAATGGCAGAAATTATTCTGAGTCCCACCTCGGTACTTAATTTCCCACAATTTTCTTTGTAGAAAGTAGAAACTGTTTCCAGGAGAGTGATCTCTAGTCAACTGTTCCAGGTCTGACTTATGCACTGCTACTCATCTTTCCATACCATCTGTGTTTAACATTTATATATAAAATATTAAAAAGTACACACTTCCCCCCCCCCCATTTTTTACAGTTGTATCTTTACATACAGCTATCAAATAAGTTGCTAAGCCACATAGTAAACTATAGATATTGTCTATTTTTGACAAAAATACTTTGACTGCCACAAATTTCTCTTACATTTTTTTCTCCCAATGGGTATGAGACAAAGGGATTGGAAAAATTATTCTTCATGAAGCAGCAAAATGCTGTTTCAGAACTACAACACACCATCAAGGATTAATGTTTCTCCACAAGAAAATTCAGTGCTTTCGACACAAGGTTGAGATGTGGAAGACAATAACTGAATTTCCCATTGCACCAACCACCTACTACATGACCCTGGTAAGTCCCTTCAGTCTCAATTCACTGAGACACCTTCTTGCCTTTGTTGCAAGGAGCACTTATTTATGTGAGATCCCTGTGCTTTGCATACCAGGCAAAGACGTCTAGATGGGATTCAGCACAGCCAACGCCTGCATACCTGTATGAGGTTGGGATGCATGGCCTGCAACCTCCTTCTGGATGCAGATGTCTCTGGCAGGCACCCCCAGCTCAGTTTCTTTGTTTAAAATAAACAAGAAGAGGAAGCACTGTCTCTCTTTTTTTTTTTTTTTTTTTTTTTTTTTTGCAAAATGGCCTAAAGAAAGAGGGGGAACCTAGAAAGTAGGAGACCAGGTTCCTTCCTCAGGCTGTGAGGATTGTAACTCCCACTTCCCCACTCTTCAGAAGGGTATATTTGGGATGGTATGGGATACCCTGAAGGTGAGTTGCTTTTTACTATTCTTCCAATTGAATTAATGCCACTGAGCAAAGCAGCTGCTCAAAAGGCTGGTGAGCCATCAGGCCATGAATTTACGAAGGTCTATTTTGTGACTAGAGTGTATCTGAGTGAATAATTTGGTTCATCTCAATGAAAAGTCTATAAAGCCCTATACTGCCTCAGGACCAGCGGTAGAGTTCAGAGATTTTTATAGAAAATCCTGAGTTTGAGAAACAAGCCTTTGTTATTCATAGATCTGTACTTATGATAGCAGATTACGAAGACACCTCAAGTGGTGCAGATTTTGATAGGGAGAAAAATATTTTAAAACGCCTCTAAAATTGCTCCCAATAGCTATTCCATCCATAGTATTACTGCTCTATCTGCTATTTTAAGAAGCAGTGCATTTTCATGCACATACTTACACACTTGCACATTCCTGTTTAACAATACGCCTCTGGAACAGAATTGCCAAGATTTACAGCTGGCTATTAAAATAAAAATCTCTGCTTTATCAGTGTTACACTTTCTGCCTATTTGTTAGATTATCAGCTCACTAAAGGCCTATCTGCATTTTATCTATGCAGCATGATTAACAAAATTGCTCGGGAACTTAATGAGCTACTCGCAGGCTGATGGTAAGATTTTCATTGTGGGGGCTTACATATTGCTGCATATCTTGTAAGCTCGGCAGCAGCGTAGATCTCCGGGGATTGGAGAACAAACACGGCTCTCCTGGCAGTGGTGTCACTTGGCCACTAGGTGGAATGGCTGGAAAGCAAATTAGAATAATTTTCTGTGCTGGGCCGGGGTTTCACCTGCCTGCCTGCCGCCCCAGCCCAGGCACTGCACAGCCTCGGGCTGACTCATACAGCCCCACAGCAAGGCTGTCTTACCAGGCTTTTGCTCCAGGTACATCAGCACGGTGACAAACAGCAGCAAGGCAGCTGTTGGAGCTGCTCTGTGCTCCTGTATCGGAAGCAGAGCCACGAGACTGTGCCCTGGGCTCCCCATGGTGCCCAGCGGATGCCTCATGTGAAAGATGATGAAAACTCCGAGCAAATGTGTGCCTTGACTTCCTTTGGAGATATTACCCAGTGACACAACCTTCACTCTCACAATCTTCAGATCCGAAGGGAGGAAGTTTCTTTTCAAGCACCCGGCACTTGTCATTGCCCTCAGGCAGAAATCTCTCTAGTGCCAATTCTTGAAACGGCACAAACAATAACTTTGGAAACAAACGGGTGCAAAGCTTGCTGCCAAGTGTGAAAGCCAGCGCAAGCTCTGCCGCCTGAAGCTGTCTAAATATTGATTCGGCTCCCGTGGCAGGTTCCCTGCCTCGGCCCCACCAGTTTTGGGACTGCTTGCATCTGATGCATTCTGGCAGGAAGGCTGGAATCGAGCCACTGAAGCGTGACTATGAGTACTGCACATTGGGAAAGAAAAGGCTTTGAAGCTGTATGTACTACTGCCACATGGGCATTCCTCTAGGAAGAGATAAGGACAGTCTTTTAAAATTATTTGATCTGACTGATGCATCTCAGTGAAAAACGTTAGTGAAAACAAATTGATCTACATTTGCAGAAGAAAAGAGATAATTTCTCTGCTATAACACTCTTCATTTACACGTGAGAGAGGCCTTTGTTAGATGGGTAAAACCCATGTCAGCAATAATCCCATTTTTTCTCTGTTGAAAATAAGATGTCCAAGAGTTGTTTGCTTTTAAACCTGATTTTCTGTATAAATTAATGTTTAAGCCGGCAGGTCAGTTTGTGGGAACCTCCACAGGGCACCCTGTCCAAGCTCATATGCGAAGTCACTACTTCCCTGCCTTTCAATCCTTTGCCTTATTCCAATTTATACCCATTTCTACTGTTTAAACAGAATTGACTGGCTAGTAGAAAACCACTCAGAGAAAAGGTAAAGCATAGATATAAAACAACAATGTTCACATAGAGAGAAAAGCTTCTCGGAGACTTGATTTCTTTCCCTTATGTTTATTTGTTTGTTTCCCTTACGTGTACTTGGAGCATGCCAAACAGCCAAGACTAAGGATAAAGCACTTTATTTATCTTGCTTCTGTCCCCAATTGGTCTTGTATATATGCATTAGAACTGCCTAGTGCATAGAGGACATGGGTACTGCAGCCCTTCCTAAGGTACCTGGCACACCTCCTTGCTCTACAGCAATCCAAGAGACCAAGTCCATGTGCAGCTCCTGCTTCTGCTGCATTGCCACAGGTACACTGTACTCAGTGTGCAGTAGGGAGGTCTGTGTCAATTCAGTGTTGTGGTGATAACAAGCCTGACCCTGGTTAAGGTGAGAGAAAACAACTTCTCCTGCTCTTTATCTGCCTCTTGTCTTTCACACTGAGCTAGCTGAGCTGGGGGACGTGTTTTGTATGCCCTTGTGAGTGTGTGCTACTGAGGAACAGGCTGGAAACAATACAATGATATGATCACCATCAAGAGATGTTAATCAGCATTAACCATATTGAATTTACCAGCAAAACACAGACAGCAGCCCTGCAGAAAATAAGCACGCAAAGTCTATTTTAGTTCAGTTTGACATTGCTTTTCTCCTTACAGAGTCCTGGGGAGTGCGATGCTCTGGTTAGTCCTAATTGATTTAAGTGACCAGACTTCCACTACTTCCTTTGGGAGATCATTGCCAGACTCTACTTAAAACCTCCTTGTGAGGAAATATTTCCCTTATTTCCCTTATTTTCCTCCATCATCTCTCATTACATTTCCTTGATGCATTCCGGGTAATGCTTTTTCCTTTTGGAGAAACAGTTGTATTGTTCTTAGACTCTCTGCCTTCCCTTTTTTAATAGTCATTAACAAAAAACTGGCTAATTTAAGGAAAAGAGTATTGATCACTGTTGGATGGGAGAGCAAGAAGCTGAAAAGACAGTCAGCACTAAATGCTAGTAAAGGAGGCAGCATTTGCATGAGATGTAAATAGAGCATTTTCAGCAAAGCATTCTTCTAGGTCTGGGCTCATACTATTCTAAAATTAGGAGGAGGGTTAGCTCACTTCCACATTGGGAACACCATCTTTTTAAAGTGACTTCTGGGTCAGAAATTCTATTTTAAACCTCTCTGTACACACACAGGCACCGTGGGAGATGCAGCACTGTGGGTGAACTGGCTCTGGCTGCCCACTGTACCCATGCCCTCTGTGAGGGCTGACCAGACATGCCATGGAGGCCTCCGTGCTGTTTGGAACACACGGGACGTGGCCTGGGAGCACACGCGGAGGGCTGACATTTCTGCAGACGGGCCGGACTCACTGTGCGCTGCAGAGTTCATCAGTGCATGCTCATTAGCGAGCTGCCCAGACTTCCAGATGTCTCAAAATCCCAGACA